CTGGAGTGCTCCAGAGCCTCCCAGGAGCTGATTTGATCCCAGTTTTCACCCCTCTGACAGGTCCCAGGTGCGATGCTGGAGGCGTTCGGCTCATCCGTGTCGGCAGCTCCCAGACCAAGCTCCCTCTCCCTTCACACCAGTGACTCAGCCTGAATATTTTAGGAGAAACTGTTGTAGACGTCTCGGTGCAACTATAAAAACTTCTCAGCCAAGGGATTTTTTTGTGCTCAGGGCAGAAGGTTGGGAGAGGAAAACCAAGGGAGAAATCGAATTTCAACAAACCTCACCTCTAAAATTCATCTGATGCCCACTTCCAGGGATGGGGCAGCCACAGCTTCTCTGGGCAACCTGTGCTGACAGAAGTCAGTGCTGCTGCTCCCAGAGCTCCACCAGGACCAGTCACCTGCATGTATTTCACCACTCAGGCCTGAGCACAAACATCTCAATTCCAGTTAGAAAAAAACCCCAAGAACATCTCTTACTACTGAGAAAAACTGCAGGGAAATTAATTTGGACAAAATGGCCCAGGTCCTTGATTTGGGAATATCACAGAAGTGAGAGGAATCACAGCCTTTAACAAGCAGCCAATTGTCCACAAGCTGAATTAGTGCAAAATGTGATGATAAATTGCTTCTGCAAACCAGAACCATCCCTGAGCAGTGGGATCTCCCACAGTTGTGCTCAGGCAGATTTTTCACTGCAGGCTGACAAAAATCTCACGTTAATCACCCGACCCAGGCCACAGAGCTCGTGGATTGTGGCACTAATTCCATGTCACGGCTGAATCCCGGATTAATCAGACACACCACGTCGTCAGCTCCAAGTGGCTCCACACTTATTAAGGTAAGAAAAAGGAGGAAAACCTCATCTCCAATTAGAGCCACGAGGAAATCAAACTTGCACCACAACCTTGTGGCTTCTCCGAGGATAAAATCATCCAGCAACCCTTCTGTCCCCACAATTGACCCCAATGTGATGGTTTTAGCCAGGCAGATGAATCCCTGCTCCTCTCCACGGCAGCAGCATCTTGGCTTGGATCGTGGCTAACTGACCATTCACTCCTAATCAAAGACAATTTGCTGTGTTTTCCAGAGATGGCTCCGTTAAATGAAGCAGATGAGCAGTGGATCTGGCCATTTATTTATTTTTAAACCCCGATCTGGGGCACAGGGGAGGGTTTCACTCCTGTTTCAGAGGCAGCTTGGCTACGAGCTCGTTTGCTGGGGGATATTAGCAGCTGGCATCTGAAATGGCAGGGCTGGGGTGTAGAGGTAAGCCAAAGTCAACTGTGCTGAAACAGAGCCAAATTCCTATTTATTCCACAGGAAAAGTGGTTAAGCCGTGGTGGCTGTGTCATTCCAAACACTATTTGCACAGTGACCTTTCTATTTCCCCTCTTGGAAACTAAAAATTTAATTGTTTTGCTGCTCTCGTACAGAATAAATAACTCCCCACGATTTTCTATTGGTGAGCAAGTAACCCAAGGACTTCTCTTCTTCTGCTATCAAAGCTGCCAAATAATTCTGTGTCAACAGCTCCAGCTCATTTGAGTCCTGGTATTGTGCCAAAATTGCCCTTTTTTGTGTGTGTGCCAGCTCAGTTGTTCATGGGACAAGGAGCAAGAGATGATCTGAACGTGGGGCTGGAAATCAGGAGCCCACAGGAGCTTCTTTGGAGTGTTTCTGCTGGAGTCTCAAGCTCCAGGAGCACTGCAGGTATCCCCTGGATCAGGTTCTCTGGAGCACATCCCACCATTTAAATTTCACAAGGTTAGACTCATTTTCAGGGTCTCCTCGCTGGTGACCAGGGACAGGATCCCAGGGAAGGGCTGGAGCTCTATCAGAGGGTTTTGGGATGGATCTCAGGGAAAGGTTCTTCCCCCAGAGGGTGGTTGGGCACTGCCCAGGCTCCCCAGGGCAGTGGGCACGGCCCCAAGGCTGCCAGAGCTCCAGGAGCATTTGGACAACGCTCTGAGGGACAGGGTGGGATTGTTGGGGTGTCCTGGGCAGGGCAGGAGTTGGACTGGATAATTGTTGAGGGTCCCTTCCCATTCAGGATATTCCAAGGTTCTATAATTCTCACTAACCTGTAATGAAATAAGGGGACAAACAGTCCTTCTGACCCACAAAATACAGAACTAATGCCACAGGGAATAACAGGGATCACCAGAGCTGCTCCAAACGTGGCTGCTCCGTGCACCCCACACAGACACACAGCCCTGGGAAGCAGCAGTGACTTGTCAGCTGATGGAGAGTGTGCAAATAGCTGCTCTCACACCTACCTGGTGACAGGGCCAGCTCTGCCCCTGGCAGTGTCCATGCAGACCTTGCTTTAATCCAGGTACAATCACATGCCTGGGAAAGCTCTTCCATGAACCTGCACTCCCTCCAAGCCTGTTTGCAGGTCGGGGCTTTGCAATCATTTAATTGTTGCAAAAAGGGTGCAAAAAGCTTCTTTGCCCACCTTTAGCTGGATGGAGGGCAGGGAAAAGAAGCCCAAACAAGAAAAGCAATGAGGACTTGCCAAAGGAACCTGCTGCAGGAAAGGCTGTGAGGAAATTCAGACAGAGAACTGACACCAACAAGGTGCTGATCCATCTCCACCTTCCTCCCAGTGCCCCTGGAATGCTGCCACCACCACAGCAGACACGTCCTCGTGAGAAATTCCACGAGCTCAACTCAAATTTAAACTAGACCAGACCTTCAAAGCCAAGTTCAGGTTAAAACAGCTCCTGATTACCTTAAAATAAACCTCCCCGAGTAAACGGCTCCGACCCAAACATGGGAATGCTTCCAGCAGGGAATTGCACCTGTTTAATGAGGAGTTTTATTAAACTGGTGCAATTTGTTCAAGCTGAAGGAGAACTACTGATGAAGAACTAATACAAACAGCAAGGGAAGAGGAACAGAGCAAAATCCTCACGGAATAACCTCAAGAAATAGAAGTTCTGCCAAACTGGCCAAAGCACAGATGTCTGCAGCACGTGACAAGGTTATTCCATCAGCTGCTCTTTCCCTGAGCTGAACAGTCACAGAAGTCAAGCAAAAAGGGGAGGAGTGAGCACCTGAGAGCCCAAGATGTCCTTCCCCGTGCAAACAGTGATGCTGGGAACCAGGAGAGGCTGGGGGTGGGAAAAAGCCCCAAAATCCCACATGGGGATACGGGTCTGCACCCCGGAGATTTGCACAAATGCATTGGCAAGAGGAGCTGCTTCCACAGGAAACCAAGATGGGAACCAAACTTTTGGTTCCACGGGACCAAAGTGAGAGAAGCAGGACCCAGCAGAGGACCAAGGGGGGGACACCTCAGGGCTTCAGGGAAGCTGGGGTTGTCCATTCAGCCCCACCACTGAACAGCCTCCCCCAACCAACACTGCTGGCTTTAGTTTTCTGTATAATCCTGTCCTTTAAAAAAAGGAATTGTCTCTTCCATTTTCCCTTGCCAAGCTGAGGATCTTCAGTTAATGAACCTCCATCCCCCATCCCACTCTCCAGGCACACGGGGAAAGTCTCTGCTGGCCTCGGAGGAGGAACAAGCTGTTGATCCCCATCTTCCCACTGCTGCCAGCAATTAGCACTAATGACTTTATGGAGTGTGTGACAGTTGGTGACACCGACCCAGGGAGTTTCATCAGCTTCTATTCCACAGGTTTCAGAACATCTGCTCGTGTGCCAGGGCCCTGGTGCTCCCCAGGGAAAGCACAGCCCTCAGAGCCAGGAAAGCACCACGGGCAGCTGCCTCCTCCCTACCTGGGCACCCAGGGTGGGCACTGGGGCTGGGCACAGCTCCCTGCAGGGCAGGGCCAGAGGCACCAGGCAGTGGGACCAGTCGTGGACACCTGTCCAGGGCTGCAGGATCTCCAGTGGATGGAGTTGGCACGGAGAGCATGGAAAAGCCAAAGGAAGAAACCAAAAGGTGCTTTAGTAGGAGAAGCAGCTCAGCTGGGCAGGTTAAGAGAGACCCACAAATAACCTTCTCCAGGGACAAGAGAGGTTGGAGGAGGAGGGGAAGGAGTCGTGCTCATCCACACTCCTCCATCCAGCCCCGACCAGCGCTCAGCCAGAGGGAAGCACAGGAAGCCAAGCTCAACATTCCAGCACTCACAGCATTCCCATCATCCTCCTGAGGACTCTCTGGGCCCAGCAGGGTCTCCTCTAACCCCACCTCAGCCAGATTTCAGGGCAGCAATCCCAGCTGGACACAAACCCACGGTGACTCCAGGGGCTGGGTGGAAACGCCTGTTCCACTCTGCCAGGTTGATTCCTGCCTTTTGATCCCAGATCCAGGCAGCTCCTGGGAAGTGTGTGCTGCTTCTTAAGACATCTTTAAAATGATATCAGTTCTCAGGACAGCAATAGAGCAGACCTTAAACCCCAAGGTAAGCTTTGTGTGGGTGTGAATTCCAGCAGAGTTCCCATCAGCAGCTTCTTCCCACCAGGACCATTCCTCAGATCATCTCCAGGAACATTATTAAGCTGCAAAAAACTGGAAGTTGGAGATTTCTTTCCCATGACCTGCAGCATCAGCCTCATCCTGCAACAGCTGGAGAGGAATTTGTCAAAAAGTATCAGGGCTCAGGATGGGAAATCAAAGTGTTCAAATGAATGTTGGGGAAGATGCTGTTTTAGGAGGTTCAACATCCTCCAAAGGCTTGGAAAAGGTAGGAAGCAGATCCCAAAAGGGGAAGTAGCAAACTGGTGATTTAAGGATGAAGGATTTTGGAACCACCTCTGGCTCTCTGGCAGCACAGTTCTCAATGAGCCAGGTGGAGCAAATCCTGGACCTTGGACAAAAGCACATTGCAAGCTTGGTTCTTAATTTTGGGAAGGGGTGCAATGACAGAGCTCTGCTCCTGCACAGACCCCAGAGAGGAAGGAAAAGATCTTCTTCTTCATCAGTCTCAGCTTCTCTTGGCTCAGTTTTATCAGCCACCTCCTCCTGCTGTACAAGAGACTTTTATAGTTAGAAATGAAGAGACTTCAACCCCCCAAAAAGTGTTATTCTGAAATGCTCAACAGCCTTTAATTCATTTTGAACCTAGAGGTAAAGAAAAAAATAGGCAAAAAATACATCACAGCCTTAATCTAGGGGGAGAAAGAAAAAAAAATCATAATTTTTATAGCACATAATCAGACACTTACAAATATATTTCACTGGAGGAAAGGGTAGGAATGTGCATTTCCTATTTCCTTTTCAAGAGTCTGATGCCCAAGGGGCATCAATATGGTCATTACCCCAAATCTGCACAAGTCATTCCTAATCCAAAAAGAGGGATTTAAAAATCAACAAAAAAAAAAAAGGAGGGAAAACCCCCTGTACCCAGGAAGGGCATTTGACAGTTCCAGGTTCATGTTTCAACATAACTCAGCATCTGAATATGGGGGGAGGAAACACACTTTTGTTTTTACAGTATAAATAGTATTTTAAAAAGGTAGTACTCATGGATACAGGAATGGTGCTATTGCAGTCAGGATTTCAAACATGCAGAGGAAATTCCCCAACAACCACTCATCCCATCCCACCCTTCCCCTCCCACCTCCAAAAAAAAAAATCCTCTGCTGGTTAAATTTCTCTTTCAATTGTTTTAAATATTTCTCTCGTAGCCTGGCAACATTCTTAGTCTTTTATACAAGCAAGTTTTCTATTAAATCGTATTTTAACCGACAGGAGACAGCTCTGGAGGAGGAACAACCGAGGCTTGGAAGAACCTTGCCAATTTTTTGAAACTTTTATTAGTCTCATTTTGGTTTTTATTGGTGGAGACATCTACTGAAAAACGTCAAAAACTCAGAAATTTAAAAAAAAAACCCCAACAAAAAAAAGAAACCAAAAAACCAAAACACAACCCTGTTTTTCCAAGGTCTTACAAACACGCACGCGCAGCCACGCACACACAGAAAATAACCCGTAGCAGAGGCAGGAAGGGAGGGCTGGGAACTCCAATTCTCAAGGGAGAACAAAACCAAAGTTTAAAAAAAAAAGAAAAAAAAATTAAATTGCTTTATTCTATCTCCACTCTTTCACTAGGACAGTTTAATACCCACGGAGTCTCTTAAGATGCTAATCTACCATCTGCCAGCCCACAAATCCTTCCCACTTATTCCCTTCAAGATCCAGCCAGAGCGTTGCTTAAAAAGCCTCTCTCCCCAGAACAATGGCCACCTTGCAAAGGGGCTTAAAAAAATAATAATGAAACCCCAAGAATATTGTCTCTCTCTCTCCATCCAGTAATTTCAGGGAATTAAGTGGCAAAGATTGCAGTGAGGCGTTCCGGGCAGGGAGGGGAGGGTCCGGCTGCCCTCGCCCACCTCCACCCCATCCCTTCTCCAGCTCTGTCCTAGCACTGCCTTGTTCTCTCCCTCTGACTTGATTGAGGTCCTCCAAAGAACGTGGAAGACTTTCCAGTGACTTCAGTTTGGATCAGGCTCTTTCCCAAAACGCTGCTCCACGACAGCTCTTCGACCGGAGGTGATTCCCGAGCGTCCGAGTGGGAGCTGCCCACTCAATACTTCAGGGTTTGGTTTTGCCTTTAATGCTCCTTCAATCCTCAGGGAACTGAGTCCAGTCAAATGCAGGGCTCGCATTCCTCTTCCCCGGGAGTAACTCAAAGGGCTCAGTCTTTACTCAAGGAAAGGATGTCACGACAATCAAAGGCGGTTGGGGAATTTCTTCTTTAATAGGATAAAAGAAAAACATACAAACGCCTCCCAGGCTTCTGTCATGGAATGATTCTCACACTGTAAAGGAGCACAACTCAAAAAAAAAAAAAATAATAATAATAATTAAAAAATAAAAATAAGGAGACAAAGAAAAGGAGAAGGTTCCTAAGGGAGAAGTGCCTAGCAGAGGGCCGGAGCAGCCCTCGGAGCTCTCGGCTGCAGCAGGAAGGGGATGGCTCGGAAGGAACTAACACAAGCAGCAACAGAACACTTGCCAAAAACAGAGTGGCATCTTGGAACTGAAAGCCATGCTGGTCTCCATCTAGAAAGCAACTGTGATGGCAAAGATGGGGAAGGAAGGTGACAAGAACGACCCAAACCCGGCCATTTCTGCCCTAAGTGCCCTCCTGGTGACGTGGCAGTGATGGCCACGTCTGTGCCAGGGCTTTAAGAGAGCTCAAGGTAAGAAACATCCCAGCTGTGAAACATTTCTTTCCCCATCTTCCCCAGCTTACAAAGAAGATAGTGTTTCTTTACAAAAAAAACAAACAAAAAAAAGAACCCAGAACGTTCCAGGACATCTGTTCTCGAGCTCCCTCTCCCCGGTGTAACATCAGTCACGATTCATTTGGAGGGGAGGAGGAGGAGGAGGGGGGGGGAAGAGGATTTAATTTCTTTTCTGTTTTTTAAAGCCATCATCTAGAAAAATGCTTTGTGGAAACTTTTTGTTTTCCCGTTTTTGCTCGCGGTTTTTGTTTTTTTTTTTTAATAATGCTCATTCATAGAAAACTTCACAAAGGTGACGTCTATGTACAGAAAACACGATTCCAAAGGCTGCTTCAGTAGTCAATGTAATAGCACCTTGAAAGACAAAAGTTTGACAGGTTTGAAAAAGTCTTTTTTTTTTTTTGTGTGTGTGTGTGTGTGTGAAATTTTAACCCTTTCCAAGCCTCATTTAAAAAAAAAAAAAAAAAGAACCAGTCACAAAGCTCCATCTGTAGAAACTCTTCCAAAGTCTCCGTGGGAAATGCTGTCTGAAGGGTTTTTTTTTCCAAGCTCCCCACTCTCTTGGTCAGCAACACCTGGCAAGGTCGAGGTAGCGTGGAGCCAGACAGGGTTTTCCTGCAGTCCAAACCAAGAGGAGATGAAAGAAATTCACAGCAAACTATTGCACAGGGCTGGTCTTCCATTCCACAGTTTCCCATTTATTTTTTTTTTTCCACGAACTCAAAAAAGGGTTAATTTAAGATTTTTTTTTTTTTTTAATTAATCCTGGTTAAAACATGTTGCTCTGAGTCCCAGGCTGGTACTGTGTCTGCAACAGGCTCTCCATAAAGGCCAAGTAATCTGGGTTCTGTCCATATTCTTCAGGATTTCTGGAATTCCCCAGCCGGGGACGCTTGGCCGCTCTCACTTCGTCTCCCGAAAAAACATCTTCCTGAGGGGCCCCAGTGCTGAGGGACTGCAGGGGACATGAAACACAACCATTAGAGGCACAGCAGGAAAACAGGGAGAGAATCATGGAGCACACCTGTGGAACAGGACAGCAGGGAACAACCTGGTTCAGAGCATTCCTGGAGAACATGAGCTTCAAAGCCTGCAAAGCACCCGGATGGAATTCAGAACTCTCGGCTTCTGGAACCAAACTGGAAGGAGAAACCCTCAAGTTGCCTTTTTTTTTCTGCTTCAGAATATCTTTCACTTCCTTGCCAATCCTCTCCTTATGTCCATTCCTCCTCTGCCTCTTCTCCCAGTAGCAGACACAAAAGAAATTGGGGCTTCCCTAATTGCCTTTAAAAACAAGACCCTCGGGAAGCATTTGGGGATCACTGCACAAACAATTCCTCCTCCTCTTCCTGCTCTCACACTCCACTGAGGTGCATTTCCTTTGCTTCCACTCAAATGACATGAGGTGGGACCAGGTGGCACCACTGTGGTCCCTTCCAACCTTTTCCATTTTGGGATTCCTTGGTAGAAATTATCTCCCATGGCTCTGTCCCTTTGTCCTCCTGCTCTACAGCATCCCCTCCACAGAGAACAGGCTGAAGCTCTGGCAGCAGAAATACAGGAGGAAAGCTTTAGCTTTCAACCAGACTTGAAGCTTTCCATTCCCTTTATTCCCTTTCCAGCTTGCATTCCTTCCTCTGGAACTGTTATAAAGTCTCCACTGCACAGAATGTGATTCTTTCCAAAATCCTGGATTTCAGGGCTCAAATATGTTGTCTTTATCATTAAACAAGCTTAAATAGACTGGAATATTGTGCATGTCTTAGAAATTACTGCTATGGTGCTTATTTGCCACCAGAAATCCTTCAAGGATAACGAGGTAAATTATTATTAACCTCTAAAATTTAGGCCACGAGGTCTCACAGAGATAAACAACCTCAAACGAGACAGAGAAGCCAATGGGGCTGTACCACAGAAAGCATTTTACATGTGGGATTTTTAGGCTAAAACCCCTGAAGATTTCATGGAAAAGGGGACAAAAATTTCCTCCAACTTGTGCTCGGTCCCTCCCCAGAACTGCCTCTCCTGGGCTATTTCTGACTGGTTTAACTGGGCACAGTTATTCTTAAGGGGAGGCTGAATCATCCTCCTTTTGTCTCTTAAAAGAGACAAAAAGGAGGCCAGAACCTTGTCACAGGTTGGCTCTGGACCTGTCCCTGTCCTGCAGTGCCTGCCAGGCAGACATTTAGAACCAAGGAGAAAACTGTATATTCTCCAGTCTCATCATTTGTTTAAATGAAATGGCTTTAAAGGTTAAAGCACCAGGTTTGAAAACACCCAGCAAGTCTGGAACCAAAAAAAGCTATGAAATAAATCCCTCATCTCTTCTAGGCCCAGTAATTCCACTGTATGCACTTAAAGACAGCCTGATCTTGTAGATTAAGAGATTTATAGGTAAGAGCTACGTTCGAAATCTCCCGTTTGGTGAGAAAAGGGGGTTTGGTCCCAGGTTGATAATCAGTTCTCCAGAAAGCACTGAGCTGTAGCCAAATCCACCTCTCATTTGGACAAAATGACTCCAATATAACTAAATTCATATGGTGTAAAATGATCTGAACATAATCTTTTAACCAGAGGAAATAAAAATCCGGCCCCAACACGTGCAAGGGAAAATCGTTTCTGTGCTCCTCAAGCATTCCCAGCAAGGATTCCTTCTACTTTATGCATTTGGGGGAATGACAAGTGGTTTTACAGCCACAGAAACTGGAGGCTGCATTCACTTAATGTCTAAAAAAACACATGAAGAAGATGTGAAGGGGTTCTGCAAGTACAGCTGGTTTAGTGTTGCTATTTTGGTACCCACCAGGCGAGACTTCACTCTCTTGGGAAGCTCTTCCTCCAAGGTATAAATATCTCCACGCTTCACCATTAGCTGAGAACCATCTTCAAACTCGACCTGCAGAGAGGCAGAAGATGAAATCACAACCAGGCCTCGACATTTCCAGCCCTTGAATGGTCCATTCCCAGCCTGTCCCTTCAGGGAACACCAAGGAAGCAACGGGGGCCAGATCCCATGGATGACCTCGTTCTTAGCACTGCAGGATTGCTCTGGAATGAGCATTCCTAAGCTCTGCTAAGGATGCTGAACCCAGAAAGTGCTGTTTTCAGTGCTCTTCAGGTACCTCTGTCTTATCCAGCCCAAGGGCTCCCATGGATCCCAAAATATCTGCACCCCCAGCTGGCCCAGCACCTCTGTTCCCCCCTCCCACTACATATTCCTACTGATCTTTGATTCAAATCCTGAAAAAAAAAAAAACAGCAGCTTTTCACTCCTAATAAAAGCAGCCCTGTATTCAGGCCAATATGGTAATAAGAACTTCTTTCATCTTAAACAAAGCATTTTCACAGGTCACAAGGAAACAATTCCAGCTACTAAAGCACATTTGTATTTCAACCAGCAGAAACAGTCAGCCAGGTACAAAAAACTCCTCCCCATCAACCCTTTTTGCTAAGCACTGATTATACCATGAATTATGCATCAGATGTTCCAGGAACGTTTATTCACGGGAACGTGCACAGCAAAATGTTAAAACTATTAAAAGTTTTTAAAGAGATTCTTATTTCCTCTGCTCGAGGCTTTAATACAGTTTTCTGGATAAAGCAGAAGGACACAGATCAGAGTTTAATAGGGGTGTCAGGCTCAGCCTGGACAAATTCAGAAGGAATAAAGCATCTGTGCTCCAGCAGCTCATTCCTTACCCAGGCCCAGCGTTCCCATCATGGAGCAGCATCCAGGAGCTGGGATAATTGTGCAGGTGGGAGCTCAGGCCTTGGAAGATGAGCCCTTCTGGGGGGGTTTAAGATGCTACTTTATTTATTCCCATTTATTTCCACTTATTATTCCCTATATTATATCCCACCAGGGGACTTCCATTGTCTTTTGTCCAGAGGCATTAATCTCTTCAAAATCACAATTATTTGCTAATTCCAGCATGTGTTCTTCAAAGTATTTTGCAAAGCAAACTTTTCAAAGTATAATTTTCAACTTTTGGTACCATTTAAGAATTATTTGATCAAATGAATGCCCTGCATTTTTTAAAGCCTTCTGTGCTGAAACACTGACCCAATGTACCAGGTTAAAGCTTCCTTTACTGACCATTACAACTCCCCCAAACAAAATTCTGAATGTGGAACAAACTCAAAGACCAAAAAAACCCTCACTGCTGTTTTACTCACCTTAAAAACCAGAGAAGGTGGGAGTGAAGGTTTCCAATTCCTCACACAACAGCAGCAGGAATTTCCAAATGCTGCTGCTGCTGCTCCACAAAACACCTTCCCATAACTAGAGGATTATTCCCCACTCTCCTGACCCTTTATATCCCTCCCTCTCCCCTCAAAGTGCTGGTACTGCTTTGATGGTTGGACTTGATGATTTAAAAGTCTTTTCCAACCTTAATGATTCTGAAGTGCTGAGGAAAGTTATTCTAATTATGTAGCTACTGATTCATGTGGAACTAGAGATGAGGAGCTCAGCTCCAGCCATCAGAGCACTTCAAGTAGGGCACTTTTAGCCTGATCTATAAGGAAAAAGGCAAATTTGTTTTACATTTTAAAAGCAGGTCCAGTCTAGACGTGTTTCTATCCCCACATCCACATTCTGCCACAGAAAACCTTCACCCTGACCCTGTTCAACACCCTGTTTCTCTTTACCCTCCCAGTAGTATTCATTTCAGGAGGCAAATTCTCCTTCCTGACCAAGTGTTCAACACCAGGGAGCTGCACAGTGCCAGGGACCATCAGACTATGAAATCCCTGGGTCCTCTGCCACACTCACCTGGTAAATCTGGCTGATCTGGGCTGCAATAAACTTGGCTTTATAGATGATCCCATCTGTCCACTGCAGCTGAACCAGCTCCCCCTCCAGAGGGGGTCCCATTTGGATGCAGTCCCTGCTCTGAAGACAGAGGGAAACAGGTCAGAGAGACACCAAAGCTCAGGAACCAGAGAGGTGTTTAAATCACTGCCCAAAGAAGCTGCTACACAGCACTATAAGTAGGTGGAAGATAAGTTTCTGCCCTTGGGATTAATTGTGGGCATCTCAAACAAAACCAGCGTGAGAGACCGGGAATGACAGCACCCAGTGCTGGGACATTTCTCATTACAAATCCCAAAACACCAGATCTGCTCTATCTCAAAAACAAGCAGGGCAGCTCAGTGAATCAGTGGCACAATCAGGAAGGGAATGCATGAGTTGACAAATAAGCCTCTTCTAGACATTCCCTCTATTAAGTGAACTCCCTATTCTGAAGCAGAAGCAGCTCACAGACAATTTGCTTCCCCCATGAATCACACTTGTCAGTTGAAAAATAAGATTATTCAACCACAAAATAAAGAGGACAAAACTTAAAACAAACACTACTTTCTGTGAAGTCATCTGCATTCAGCAAAATCACATCTTTGTCAAGGAACCAAAAAAAATAAATGAGATAATGTCAGAAACAAGAACTGCAGTGAAGAGCGGGATGAGATTTTCTGAGCAAGCAGCGACTTAACTTTTTAATTTTAATTATTTTTTTTTTTAAATTTACTTTGCTGTTCCAGCCCAAAGCACACGAGAGGAAGGCACAAATCATACTTGGCACTCATCTATAAAGCCCCAGCCTCCACAGAGCTGCTTACAATGATGCTTTCGGGATAAACGTTGTCGCTGTAGGAACCGTCGTCAAAGTTGACTTCGTAGAAGGTCTGCGTGGTTGTGCCGATCACTCTGCACCGGTAGTAGAGCCCATTCCGGTTCTTTGTGATCACAGTCTGCCCCAGGGCCACCTCCCTTCGGAATGGGATCTGTGGGAGAGGGAAAAGGGAAACATCTGCAACCTGCAAATTGGAAAAGCTGCGCCAAAAATATCACGGAATCGTGGAACGGTTTGGGTTGGGAGGGAACTTAAAGCTCGTGGAGTTCCAACCCCAACACCAATCTTCATCAGCATCAGAAGATCTCAGGAAAGCTGTATCTGATGGGGGGTTGCTGTCTCTGGATAATTGTGTCCTTCTCCAGCAGAGCAGTTCCTCAGCAATAATGGAGCAAGAGGCAGCGGGTTCCTCCAGCCCCTCAGATCACACAATCATCATGGAAGGGTTTGGGTTGGAAGGGACCTTAAACCCATCCAGTGCCACCCTGCCATGGGCAGGGACACCTTCCACCAGCCCAGGTTGCTCCAAGCCCTGTCCAACCTGGCCTTGGACACTTCCAGGGATGGGGCAGCCACAGCTGCTCTGGGAAATCCATCCCAGCCCCTCCCCACCCTCACAGGGAGGAATTGCTTCCCAATATCCCATCTAAACCTACTACCTTTGAGATTAAAGCCATTCCCAGTACTGCCTTTCTGGATAATCTTTCTGCATTAGCCAGAAAAGTGTAATAAGTCTTGAGCCAACACAGGTGCAGAAAAACAATTCTAAAAAAAACCCAAAAAACCCCAAAACAAGCTGACAAAAAAGAAAATAACCCAAAAACCCACCAAAAAAACCCCTGACAAAACAAAACAAAACCAAACCACCATCCAAAAATAGTCTTGGAGACCTCATTGCAGTTACAACTTCCTTGTGAGGGGCAGAGGAGGGGCAGGCCCTGAGCTCTGCTCTGTGGGGTCAGGGACAGGACCCAGGGCAGGCTCAGGTTGGATCTCAGGAAAAGGTTCTTCCCCCAGAGGGTGGTTGGGCACTGACCAGGCTCCCCAGGGCAGTGGGCACAGCCCCAAGGCTGCCAGAGCTCCAGGAGTGTTAGGATGACACTCTGGAGCACAGGATGTGACTCTTGGGGATGGTCCCGTGCAGAGCCAGGAGTTGGACTCAACGATCCTTGTGGGTTCCTTCCAACTCAACCCATTCTGTGATTCTGTGATTCTGCAACCTAAACCCCCCAAAACAACCCCAAGGCCCCAAAACCCAAGGCAGAGCCCTACATTCTGGTTTGCTGCTTTGTGTTTGAAGCAGGTGATGGACACCACGTAGGGCCAGTCGTCGGGCTCCATGGGCACTCCGGCCGCGTGCGCGCACGTGACGTGGAAGGACGTGGAGCAGTGCTCGTAGGAGCACTGGATGCAGGCACCCGACACCCTCTTCATCCTCTTCCGACAGTAGACACATTTCTGGAAGGAAACAGAGGTTGGGGTTATGCAGGCAGGCAACAGATCCAATGGGATGCAGGGCACCGGGGTCTGGCACGGCGGGAAGTCTGTGGGACGTGTCCAGGGCACGGGAGCCACAGGCAAAAATGGTGTTTGGTGTCAAGAGGTTGGTTCCACACTGACAGAATTGTCTATAGACACCTCCCTAGAATCACTTGGAAACCAAAAACCTGGGGGAAAATTGAGGGGGGGAGGGAAGTTGTGGGAATAAGTCAGGGGGGAAAAGTCCGGGGGGAAAAAGTCACAGGGAAAACTCACACCAGGGGGAAAGTCAGGGGGAAAAACTTGGGGGGGGAAAACTCAGGGGGGAAATAACTTGGAGAAATAAGTTGTGGGAGAAAAAGTCTGGGGGGAAAAAAGTCTGGGGTGAAAAATTCAGGGTGGAAAAATTCAGGATGGAAAAACTCAGGGGGGAAAAACTCGGGGGGGGAAAATTCAGGGAGGAAAACTCAGAGGAAAAACTCATGGGGAAAATTCAGGGAGAAAAAACTTGGGGGAATAAGTCGGGGTGAAAAAGTCCGTGGAGAAAAACTTGGTGGGAGGGAAAAACTCATGAGGGAAAAACTCTGGGGGGAAAACTGGGGGGGGGGGGGGCTCGGGGGGAAAAACTGGGGAGGGGGAAAAACTCAAGAGGGAAAAAACTCGGAGGGAAAAACTTGGGGGGAAAAACTCAGGGAGAAAAACTCAGGGGAAAAACCTCATCATTCCCTTGGCCATGAGAGCACCTCCCAGTCCCTCAGCCCTCCAGAGCCACACTGGGCAGTGACTTAAGCCCAGTTTAAGACTCTGTTCACTGGAGGGTTCAGAGAATGGGAGGGCAAAGCAGGCAAAGACCCCTCAGTGTCACCAGAGAACTGCTACAACTCCCCCCTCCCCCTGCTCAGACACAGGAATGTCCCCACATTAACTCCTGAATCAGCTGGATCCTCGCAGATGTGCTGCTGGAAAATGATGTTTCCATGTTTTTTGAAAGAACAGAACACAATAACTGGGGAGTAATTCGCCCTGATTATATTTAATGGAACATTCTATCGATTAGATCTAATAGGATATAATTTTATGGAATGGAACAAAAATATCGTGTGTTTATTTTAGATGCAGAAGCCCATCAACCATAAATATTTTATTGGCATCCATGGCAGATGAGCCATTGGAGGTAATTCAGGCAGTTTTGCAAACAAAAGAAAATAAAAACATTGTACCAAACAGCAGAATTACGGGGGGGGGGAAGGTCTGAAATCTTTCAGTCATTTTTACACTCATTTTCTGCAAAGCAGATCCAGTTATTAGGTAAATCAATGTAAGATGTGTGGCTATTTTAAAAAGAAATTACATGTTTTTCAAAGCTAAAAATCCTAAGCCTGATGGCACTGAGAGTTGGCAGCGAGCATGAGGTGTGGTAGGAACAAGATACACTTCCTCACTCCCTAAAACAGCATCAATTCTTGTTTTCAGCCCCTCAAAAATACAGAAAAGCAGATCTTGGGAATCCCAACCGAAAGAAGTTTAAGTTGGATGCTTGCATAACGTTTCCAGGGAATTACTGGGAACATCATTCTTAGTTTTCAGTATTTCCACTCTAGGGAACCTGTCACTGATCATCAAATCCCAGACTGGTTTGGGTTGGAAGGGACCTTAAGGATCATCTCATCCCATCCCATCCATGGGCAGGGACACCTTCCACTAGCCCAGGTTGCTCCAGCCTGGCCTTGGACACTCCCAGGGATGGGGCAGCTTCTTTACCTTATCTGAGGCTGGGACAAGGCAAATCAGGACAAAATTAATGTCACCCCCCAGACAAATGTGCACTTTACTTGCTAAAATGAACAGCCCATATAAATAAAATACTGAGGAATATTTGATGTCCATGAACCTGAACATACAGCTGGGTAAGTTAGTTATTACAAAACAAGAATTCCACAGACAAGGAGGAACAGAGGGAAGCAGGAATTTTTAGTGCCTGTTTCCAGCTGGCCACCCCCAAAACACACCACTGTCCCCTTCCCAATCCATCCACTCATCTGAACATGAATGTCCTATAAACACATCAGGAATGATGGATTCATTTTGTCTCTGATATCCAACAGAGCTCTCCTTCCCCTCTCACCTTCCCCAGCCTCTCCTTCCCCTCATTTCCATTAAAACAGTGCTCAAACTATGCACCAGTACAGAACACACGACCTAAATTTTAAGATCCATATGAATTACTACATCCCACAGGATTGGGAATGTAACATAAGCTGCCTGAGATCACACAATAAACCAATACAACCCCCAGAAGCACAAGTTCACTCTGTTTCTAGATCTGAGCCATCTTAAAAGTGTACCCTCAAAAAACTTGAAGGGTGGTTCCATATTATAAACTATTCATAGTTTAGAATATAAAATATATACTGCCAGATATAAAATAGGAATTGCCAAATTTTCATGTTTGATTTGAGTTCTCACAGCTGAGAGCAGAGGTCCCACTGCACTCACTACAAACCACTGCCAAGACAAAAAACATTCCAATGCCTTTAAACTGCCAGAGGGCAGGTTTAGATGAGATTCTGGGAAGGAATTCCTCCCTGGGAGGGTGGAGAGACCCTGGCACAGGTTGGGCAGAGAAGCTGTGGCTGCCCCATCCCTGGAAGTGTCCAAGGCCAGGTTGGAGCACCCTGGGCTGGTGAAAGGTGTCCCTGCCCATGGCAGGGGGTGGCACTGGACGGGCTTTAAGGTCCCTTCCAACCCAAACTGTTCCATGATTCTGCCATTCCTTCTCCAACATTATCTCTCTTCCTTGAAAGCAAAAGATGCCAAAGAAAAGGAGATGTGTTATTCCCTATTCCTGTGCAACATCTCCCCTCCCTGCCTGGGCTCTCTCTGAAATAAATAAGCCACATTCCTCCCTGTGAATCAACTGAAGTCAGTTTGTTTACACCAAAGATTAATTTGGCCTTTTTACACAAACGAACAAAAACCAGGAAATTCAAAGCCAGAGCCTCAGTGCTGCCAGAACGTGGGTTTAGCCTTTAATAAGCTGAGCCTTTATCACTCTGCAAACCATGTTCCAAAGGCAGATAAGCACCAGGAAAGTGCACAGCAGGACACGGCCTGAGAGCCAGTCAATAGAGATCCCATTATTAACCTGTCAATACCCAACTGTCCCAGCAGCACAACAATGCTGATACACGGGGGGCTCAGGGGAGAGTTAACCCTCCTGGGGCAGGAATCTGCCCCTGCTGATGCAAACAGGATTTTTCCAAGGGAAAGGATTAGCACACACCTAATGCCACCCTCGTGCCAACGCAAACTCCATGTGACAGGAGGAAGAGCTGCCACAGTGAGGGGGATGTTCAGTGCAAATAGGATCAGAAATGAAGAAAAACGTGAGTTACAGTGAGCCTGAAGGGTAGAGAATGATGGAAAAAGTAAAAACTCTTCCCTGTGAGGGTGGGGTTGCCCAGAGAAGCTGTGGTTGCCCCATCCCTGGAAGTGTCCAAGGCCAGGCTGGAGCAACCTGGGATAGTGGAAGGTGTCCCTGCCCATGCCACAGGGTGGAATAAGATGAGCTTTAAGTTGCCTTCCAATCTAAAGTGTCCTGTGATCCTGTGAAAATGCAGAAGACCTGGATGTGTGGGAGATGGGATGGCCAGAAACACCAGTGCCAAGAGCTGTGGCAAAGCAGCACATGGAGATTTAAAGCCGCTTTCTGTGGGAGGGAAAAGAGAAGGTCTAAAAACACAGGAGAGAAATCTTTGGAATAAATGCACACCAGAGAGTCAGGTCACAGCTGAGAGTAAGAAATGGGCTGTCTCCTGCATGATGAACACTGCAATTCATTTACTCCACTGAGGAATGACAGCTAATTATTCCAAATTTCCACGTCATAAATAATTTACGTGCAAGAGCCTGTAATATGCCATCAATCACGGAGCATGGAAACTGCATTCCTGAAAATGATGCCATACCCACAAATGGACTGAAAAGTCCCTGCTTCAACAGGGAGACCTGGTACAAGCTTAAAGAACAGGATGTACCTTTAACCACTGCAATGCTTTGGTACCTCAGCCCTCTCACAGTAATTAAAACAGTACAAACACATTAAAAAAATCAAACAATAATCATGGATAAACCCTGCCCCCTCTTTCCTCCATTACCTTCATCTATTCACTTCAACTGTCCTCAACCTTCACATCATTCCTTCTCTCCTTTTCCATCTTTTTCAGCCACAAAGGTCACCTCTCCAATTTTACCCAGGACTGCATCAACTCCATCATTCCGAAGTCATCAGATCCAACACCAGCACCTTTTGGTCACCCTCAGTTTATCTTCCTGAATGCAGCTGCTCACCTCCAAAGCACAGACACAGACACAGCTCCTCCACTGACTCCTCGTGCTCCAAATTCCTATAAAGAATCCTAGAATTCCCCATTGTGGTTCAGGAGTGTGTTTCTCCACAAAATCATATCCAATTTAAATTTCCTTTGTACTTCACACCCCACCCCACTGCTGCTGCTGGAAGTACCTCTGCCCCTACATTCTGCCCTCCAAATTAATTGTTTAATCTTTATAATCTAGTTTATAACCCTAAAACTTTCCAAGTGAAGGGCTTAAAGCCAGGCTTTGACATTTGACATTTGACAGGCTCTGGCTAACATCAACAGAAGGAATACCTGCCTGTAAATCCCAACATTGGACTGTGTAAGTCAAGGTACTTCATACAAACATTCTCTACCTCCCCTGAGACAGAAAGAAAACAGGAGGTGCAATACAACAGTGAACAAATCAAACAAAATTCCTTTCCAGAGCTTGAGGAGCATTTGGACAATGCTCTCAGGCACAGGGGGGGATTCTCGGGGTTATTCTTTGCAGAGCCAGGACCTGGACTTTGATGATCCTTGTGAGTCCCTTCCAAGTCAGGATATTCTATGATTCCATGAAAATATGAAGTTTTAATTCGGGAATGAAAGAGAAAGGTGTGCAGCAGGTCCCTGCAGAGGCCCAGCCAACACTTTTGAGCAGAATGAAGCAACAGATTCCGACGTACGCTGACAGTGCCCTGGCTCTGCAGGACTGCGAGGCAGCCAAAGAAGAGTTAAAGAATTAAGCCATGTTTCCTTGTGAGGCTCCATTAAGCAATACAAGTGAGTCTTGTGTAAAAGGATTTTAAGTTCAGCGTTACAAGTGCTGGTAATGAAGAGGATGCAGGCTGGAAATGTCAGCTGATCCATAAAGAAGCGCCGCGGCAAAGATTTATCGCCCTCGCATCGCTCTGCTCCAGCACTCCTCCTGAATAATGAATGCTTTTTACATTCACATTTGTGTACAAAACCCATTTGCACAACAGAGAAATAACTCTGGAGGCAGGGATGGATCCTTCCTAATCCCTCACCCGGGCTCCCTGCACTAAAGAGCAGCTCTGCTAAGGAATCCATCAGTGCTATCCCATGTATCACTGCTCCAGCACCTTCCCCATCCCACACTGTGTCACCCAGCTGACTTCTGCACCAAAAAAAGCAGCAAAAGCACAATTTATTTTGCAATAACACAGTGTAGTGATGGAGCATTAACTAACATTAAGATTAATTGCTCTGAGCTAGTGAATCATCCATTACTAATCCCTGGGATGAGGCCACGCAGCTGAATAACAACTTGTAGCTGGACTGGTATTAAAATCTTCCCAGTCTCGCCTTGCAGTCAGGGTCACAAAATGTTTATTCATTTCTACAGGAGATCTCTTGATAGAAAAAGAGAAATATTGTGAAGAAAGATGAATCAAATCAGAGATGAACAAGTCAGCTTCTCTCTAGTCACCACATCCCTTCACAGTCCCGCTGTGCAATGCTTGGAGTAAATGAAGCTTTCAGGCAGTGTACACCTGATTGCAGGTGGGACAGGGTCCTGGGCTCTGCCCAGGGTATGAGCACATTCCCAGAGAGTAAAGGCACATCTGGAACTCACAAGCTGTTTGTGTGTCAAAGCACTGAGACAGTGCTCAGCAGATATCAAATGCTGCAGCTTCCCACAGCTTTTGTTTGGAAATAAGAGCGAGATCACCTCCAACCTCAGCTACTTTATGAACCCACACAACGTTTTTCTGTCTAGTTACAGCTTTTTCCTTTGGCTCTCGTTCCCAAACACTCTCCCCAGGTAAGAGACACCCACCAGTTTCCATCTCTGCTCTGGAATAGCGCTGATATCCACAGGATGACGCTCTATTACATTGAGGAAACGGGCCTCGGGGACAGCAATAGCACAGATTACATGGACCCACCTGGGGAACAAAGCAAAGAGACAAATCAGAGGCTGCCATTAGTTGAATTAAATGCTCAGGAGGGCAGTTAACATTTCCCTGCCTCCCTCAGCATCAAGGCATATTTATATGGGTTGGCAGCCTTGGCAACGTTACCGACTGTTAATTACGGTCGCGCGAGGTAAATGTCTCTGCAACAACAGGGATCAACCTGCTTGTGCATCTGATTTTGCATGATACTAAATGCTCTCTGAGAAGACTTTTCTCTGAGAAACAACCATGATCAACAAGTGTCCAGAACCTCTGCTGTGGAGCACCTGGTGCAGTGTAAGACAGCACAGTCACTCAGGCTCGTCCTGCCGAGCGCGGAGCTGTCACCTCCAGAACACCAAAACTTGCTGGTACCCTGAGTATTGAGACCAAATTTACAACAGCAGGAGATTGGATGGCATGTGGAAGGAAAATAGCCCAAAATACAACACTCACCGCCCATCAGTGGTCATCTGAAGAGCTCCTCCCCTGAGATTGCACAGGCAACATTCCTGCAGGAACACAACTCCTTCAGAACTGGATGGGAAAGCTCGGCCTATCTCCCCCCAGAAATGACTACACCCCACCTGGGATGTCCCAGGCACACTGAACCTTCCCACTACCCATCTCTGGAGAAGTATCTGGCCAGGCCCAGAGAGTGGTGGTGAACGGGGCTGCATCCAGTTGGCAGCCGGTCACTAGTGGTGTCCCCCAGGGACAGTGTTGGGCCCAGTTCTATTTAATATCTTTATCGATGATTTAGATGAGGGGATTGAGTCCACCATCAGCAAATTTGCAGATGACACTAAGTTGGGGGGAAGTGTCCATCAGCTGGAAGGCAGGAGGGCTCTGCAGAGGGACCTGGATGGGTTGGAGAGTTGGGCTGATTCCAAGGGGATGAGGTTCAACCAGGCCAAGGGCCGGGTCCTGCACTTTGGCCACAACAACCCCCAGCAGCCCCATGGGCTGGGACAGAGTGGCTGGAGAGCAGCCAGGCAGGAAGGGAGCTGGGAGTGTGGATGGACAGGGAGCTGAACAGGAGCCAGAGTGTGCCCAGGTGGCCAAGAGGGCCAATGGATCCTGGCCTGGATCAGGAACAGTGTGGCCAACAGGGCCAGGGAAGTGATTCTTGCCCTGGACTCAGCACTGGTGAGGCCACCCCTGGAGTGCTGTGTCCAGTTCTGGGCCCTCAGCTCAGGAAGGACATTGAGGTCCTGGAGCAGGTCCAGAGAAGAGCAACGAGGCTGGGGAAGGGACTGGAGCACAAGTGCTGTGAGGAGAGGCTGAGGGAGCTGGGGCTGTTCAGCCTGGAGAAGAGGAGGCTCAGGGGAGACCTCCTCACTCTCTGCAACTCCCTGACAGGAGGGGGGAGCCGGGGGGGGTTGGTCTCTTTTTCCAGGCAACTCTCAGCAAGACAAGAGGGCTCAGGGTCTTCAGCTGTGCCAGGGGAGGTTTAGGTTGGATATCAGGAAGAATTTCTTTGCAGAGAGGGTGATCAGCCATTGGAATGGGCTGCCCAGGGAAGTGGTGGATTCTCTGTCCCTGGAGGTTTTTAAGCTGAGACTGGATGTGGCATCAGTGCCATGGGCTGGGAACCACGGCGGGGTTGGATCAAGGGTTGGATTGATGATCTCAGAGGTCCCTTCCAACCCAGCTGATTCTATGATTCTATGATTCTATGACTCCCAGAGTATCCCATGGGAATTGTGTGGTCTCCAGAGGGGCAGGTCCTTACCGCTGCCCAGGCGTTGGCTGAGCACCGCGAGCAAGACCAGCTCTCGTTCACCAGGTCTGGACGAATTCCATAACAGCCTGAAAGAAAACAATCATATCCTCATCAGGTCAGAGTTTTCCCAACATATCTGTGGTATTGACTTGTTGACTTTTCAGTGAGAAGCATCTCTGAGAGCAGGTGCAGCATTTGGATGATTATATTCAGTAGGCTCAGACTAAAGTCTGAGGGGGGAGAATTTGGGACCAGCAGGTCTAAAAATAAATAAAAAACCCACATACAGGAAACTCTCAATATTTTTTTTTCATTTTTCTAAGGATTACAATAACAGGCCTTTGATCCTTCAGGCAGGAACTGGGCTCCAAAGTGATGCTATCACTGCTGGAAGGCACTCACACAACAAAACAGGTAACGCCACTGAATTTTGGCAAGATTGAAGCAATTCTCTTTGCTACATGGTGTTAAGAGGAAGGACAAACCCAATAAACCTGCAAGGAAATTAAATACCTGCATTTCACTTATTTAACAGTATTTAATTTATGGTTATATAAAGTGTTAGAAACATCTGATTTTACAGAGCATCAACTACTGTAACACTCAAGCACCAAATCCTCCTACAGCAACACCAAAATAGTAAAGTGGCATTAAAGCCATAATAAAGACAGAGAAACAAGAACAAAAAAGTCCCTAAAATTCTGTAAAAGGCACTGAGGTTTGTCACTGAAAACAATGGGGAAATTACACAGAAATAGTTTTGAAAAAGTGGATCTATGTGATTCCTGCAAGCTTGTAAAGCAAGTGGAAAATCAAATATAAGCATCCCAAATAAAACACAGCTCATCCCACCCAGCCTTTACCTATCCTAACAAAACTCCATCCAGCCTTCACCTATCCTAAAAAGCTGAACAGAAAGTTTCAGCTGGGAACAACAATCTCAAATTACTGAATTAAACTTAAATGAAGTCATTCAGAAAGCACTGGGATTGCCACCATAACCTGATTTATAAATATCATCCACTTAGCCAGATAAACAGCATGTCAAAAAAAGTCAATAGTATGGATCTGCAGCTGTTCTCCACAGCTGAGATCTCTTTTCATCATATGGCAAATCAGGAAAGCAGATTCCACCCAGTCCTAGAACATGGGCAGGGGGTTCAGTCCAAAACCTGAGCTGAGACAGAAGCAGACACTGAGCTGGAATAGTGCTGGACCTCACAGGGGTGGGGAGCAGGCTGGGATTTCAGCATGGATTTCCTGCTCCAGGACCACAGGCAGCTGGAATATGGGATCTGGGAAAAGGAGACTGAGGGGAGACCTTATTGCTCTCCACAACTCCCTGACAGGAGGTTGGAGCCAGGAGGGGGGACGGGCTCTTCTTCCACATAAACAAGCAACGGGACGAGAGGAAACAACCTCAAGCTGTGCCAGGGGAGGTTTAGACGGAAAATTAGGAAAAATTTCTTCATGGAAAGGGTTGTGAAGCATTGGCACATGCTGCCCAGGGCAGTGGGGGAGTCACCATCCCTGGAGGTGTTCAAACAATGTGTGGATGTGGCACTTAAGGACATGGTTTTGTGGTGAACACGGTGGTGGTGATGGGGTGACTGTTGGACTTGATCTTAAAGGTCTTTTCCAACTTTAATGATTCTATGAGGGGAGAACAATCATATTTACTGAGCCCCAGACTGTCCCATAAGGACAACTCTAGCAGACCAAGAAAAATATGCTCTTTTTATGGATTTTGTCAACGCCTCAAAAGCCCAGAAACCTTCACAAAACCTTCCCCCTCCGTCTGTTCCGGCTGCTGCCATAACCCAGCACAGTTTGTGAGGACACTTCTCAAGAACACTCAGGCTGCCAACTGGTTTTACAGCACAGATTAGCCAAAATACACCCCTCAACACTGCAATCCTGCAATGAAAGCAAATGGATCCTCTGCAGCAAAGTCAAAGGCACGTCACAGACTTGAGAAAACAAGAATTCACTGGAGACTCCAGCAGATTTAAGGTCTGTCCTGTCCTCGAGGGGAGAGCACAGCCACAATAAAAAGCTGCATTTCTCTCCACCCTGAGTGTGCACATTAACATCATCTTGCCCACATCCCTCTGTCCCTAAATAGAATTTGGCCACTGAAACCATTTTGATAGACTGGACTATTGCAGACATATGGATGGACAAGATGTGGCATCTCTGATTGCTACAGAGGCCACAATTTGGGAAGGAAGGAACATCCTCACTGTGCTTATTAGCCAGGAATGACCATAATCAGGGATTCAGCACAGAAATAAAAGTTGCCTTCCAGTTCTCCACCAGAGCCAGCCCTGCTGAGCTGCCTGGGGACCTGCAGGCTCTAAAATCAGAACAACAAAAGTAATTCCAGCTGATGCAAGTCAAATAAGATTCCCCATCTGTCAAGATCCAACAGCTGAGCAGTAATTCGTCACATCTCCTACGAGCCCAAATGTTAACTGGATGTTGTACAATCCACACTGAAGGTACACGCTCCACCAGGATTAATCAGATCTTCTTTTAGACAGAACTATCAGGGAAGCAAACAGACATATGTTCCCTCTTGTAATCAAGTGCCATTACTACAAACAGTATCACAGACACTAATAAAATGTATCTCCAGCTCCTCCATAATCTCTGCTGCACGCAGGAACAATACAGCCTCACCCAGCAGAGCAATTTGGGGAGGAAATATTTGAGAGGAAAGAGTGCAATAAGCCTTGTGAGCTCTGCTTTATTACAGAAAATGAAAGATATCGAAAGAAAGAATCTGTTCTGTGAGACGGGAAAAAGATCAGCCAACAAAACAACCCCTAAAAAGAATATTGGTGTGAATTTTTAAGATCAGTGACTGCCAAGGTGGACTTGAATATACAGATATTCCTTCCAGTGGAAGGTGTTCCTGCCCGTGGCAGGGGGTTGGAAGTGGATGATTTTTAAGGTTCTTTCCAACCCAAACCATTCTGTGATTCCAAGATACACTTGCACCAGAAAAGGAAAAAAAAACAGGAGTGACAGATGTAGCAACCCTGGAATTCAAATACAGGCAACACACAAATAAACTCAGGAGTCTCCCGATGCCCCAAAGGCTTTGGGAAGGAGGGAACACTCACTAGCATGAACCTGCAGGCAGCATTTGGCACAGGATATCAAGGGACTGGTTCCATCCTCTCCAATGTAGGAATTTGAAGGAAGGGGCTCCGTGTTTTCCCCACTTGAGGTAAAGCACATCTCTGGGATCAGGGGCTTGGTCTTCTGCCCACACTTGGAAAGGTGGATGAAGGAGGACGGTTCCCCTCCGGAGACTGGGACGGCTTCCTTATCCACCTGTGAGGACTTGGAGAGGAAATGTCAGCACATGGAATCACCTCTGCCCTGGGCACAGTTTCAACTTTCAAGGCTGAGCCCTCCCCTTGCAAAAAACCCCATCCAACCCCTGCCAGCAGACAGCCAAAAATGAGCCTTAAAACCCCATTCCCAGGCACATCCCACCCCTGCCTTGCTCCTCTTCCTGAGGCCTCTCCTGGGACCTGCAATTTGTTTGGAAAGCTCAAAGAAGCTTTGGAATAATGAGCAGCTTTTCCTGGTTTTCCTCTGTAAAAAATCTGAATTCCTAAACTGCGGCTGAAAACACCCAGGAAAAATAAAAAGGAAAATCTTATTTAAAGCAAGACCTTCCCTCCCCCTCTCCCACCCCTCTGGCATCCTTCCCTACTCTTCCTGCAAGAATTCCTCCTGAAGGACATTTCAAGGTTTCTGGTAGCAGACAGAGTTAAAAGCAGTGGATTTAACCAGCCCAGCTGCACCCAGTTTTCCTCAGAACCATCAAACAACATCCAGCAATCAGGACAGATATTTTATTTTCAGTCTCTATAATAAATCAAAGAGATTTCACTGAAGGGGGGGAGGTGGGTCCTGCTTTTTCTCAGAAAAAGCTCCCACCACATATCCAAGGAATCTAAGGCACATATTCCTGGTGGACACACAAAGCCAAATCTGGCTTTCTGTGAGAACAAATCAATACACAACTGAGCAAATGACTAATTCATCTGATGAATTTTGCCTTTCTGCTCATAACATCTCCCAGAGCATATTGGTAGTTTCCAAAAGAGATGATGGATGTGCTTACTCAGTAAATTTTGATTTTGTTGCTTGTTTGCATATATTCAGCAGTCTGGGCCTGTACTGAAACACCAGCAATCATGTGCCTGATGTACAGAGTTTTCTGCACATGAAACAAGTGTTTGCAAAGCTCTTTAAATGTGTGATTTTAAAAAATGAACACTGAGAAAGCCAGAGAAGCCAGGAAATAAAAAAAAAAACCAACAAAAAAACCCAAAAAGGCTGTGCCAAATCCAAACACTTTCCTTTGGGATGCAAATTTGTAGGGGTCTGTCTTTATTACAAATGTCTACATCCTAATTTATCCATCTGAGCAGTATCAGAGGTTTAGATTAGATATTAGGAATAATTTCTTCGTGGGAAGCACAGTCAGGTATTGGAACAGGCTGGAGTCACCAGCCCTGGAAGAGTTCAAAAACCATGGGAATATGGCTCTGGATTTAGTGGTGAACGTGGGGCTGGGGCTGGACTGACAGCTGGACTTAGTCTTAGAGGTCTTCCCGAAGTTTAATGATTCCATGTGAGGAATTACCTGGTTGTAGGGGTAGAAGAGGGTGCAGACAGCACAGTATGGCTCACTCAGGGCAGCAGCTGCATTGAATTTTCTTTCAGCTGGGAAATTAAGTGCTTTATTCTTCCACTGGAAGGAAAGTAAAGATTTCAAAGCCTCTGGATCGCTCATATCTTCCTCTCCAGAAAATGGAAACGTTTCTAGAATGAAAGAAAAAAAATCCCAAAACAATGGACAGTCAGGAGAGGTTTAGAGATAGAAGAGGTGAAATGGCAGCAAGGCTGAGTTGAACAGCTCATTCTCAACAATACAAGTGCAATAAATAAAAACATTCCACTCATCCATGGTTCCTCATATGCCTTCAATACTTCCTAAATGGATATGGGTAGGTTGAACAAGACAGGGACAGAGATGACTTAATGGAACTGGCCATGAGAAGGAGGAAGAAGAAAATCTGGATTTACTGCCCTACACAACTCCACTTCCTGGCTGTGGGAACCTACTGCATCCTAATTTGAACTTTAGTAAGTTCAAAACACGTGACGTCAGTGGAGGAGATCCCCCTTTGCTCTCTCCAGGTGGGAGCTGCATTCTCTGGAAGATGTGGATGCAGTTGGTGCTGGTTGGGTCAGGACAGTTCCCAGTGTGTTCCAACCTTCCCAAGGTGCCTCCTGTGCCTGTTCCACCAACACAAACCTTGGCTATGAGAAATCCTGGTGTTCCTTTCCCAGCCATTCCATGGAGGACACACCATTAAACCTCCCCTTTGCTCTCCCCACCATCCCTCCCTCTGCCAGAGCTCTGCCAGGTCCTGCTCCTGCTAATTAGTTTGCTAATTCTTTCTTTTCATAAACCTTTAAAAGGCCTTTGGCCTTTCAGGATTAAACCACGGCAGGATCCATTTGGGGGGCCCAAGTTTCTTACCCTTCCTTAAGGAAGGAAATTTGAGTCACTGTAAGTGTTAAAGAAATTTTCCACACAAGACTAAGTGTAAATCACTCCCTGCATCACCAACCTGCAAAGTTTCCAAGAGAACAGGGAACTCAAAAACATCTTGGTAGAACATTATCCCCAGAGCTCAGCACATTAAACCAAATTGTTCACTGCCTCACTGTTAATTACTAGAAATAAGCAGTTAATGTTCTGCTCTACAGGTCTTAAGTCTCCTCCCCAATTCTCCCTCCCTTTGAAGATTTTCTGACTCTCAGGTTACCTGAAAGGATAAAAGGAACTTGGAGTAAAACATTAACAGCTGAGTTCACATCTCAGATTTTAAATGTTCCCCTCGACTAATCTAATACAGAATTGCCAGACAATGTGGAAATTTGATTATGTTTAATTAATCACTCCTCTTTGTGAGGTGATGGATGCTGTCTGTGTGGCTCTGTCATACTTCAAGCCAAGGTTATTTCCTAAAAAGTGCCTTTTCTTTTTAAGACATGAGCCAAAAACCCTCATGTTTCTCCAAATTTTAGTTGAGGCACATCAGGTGACAGGCAGGGATTTATGATACCAGTGAAATCAATGCAAGCAGCATCCTAATCCAGAGTGACAGAGGGAGAGAAAAAGGGAATGACTGCTGTGTGTTATCACCTTCTCTCCTCCCAGGATGGACCCTGGGGGACACACAGCTCCTCCACTGCAAGCAAGGAGGGACAAACAATTTGTCTGGACTGAATCTGAGTGTATCATGTGCTTAATTTACATGCTCACTGTTCCTCTTGCAGCCTCCAGATCATCCTGGTACATCATTCCCCGAAAAAGCAGGGAGTGCACAGAGCTGCTTCTATCCCCTGGTGGGGAGGGAAGGATCTGTTTGATCAGACTGTGCCCAGCAGGGCTGTAAATCAGCCCCCAGGAAATGCCAGCTTTGACAAGAGCTGCTCCTGCTCCAGCAGCCAAGTCCCCAAACACCATCCAACAAAAGTCAAGGCAGTGGGAAGGATCTGCCTAATGAGGACCCTCCAGCACAAAGTTGGCTCCAAGGTCTCACACCAAGAGAAGGTAACGAGTCTCTGCTGCCCCTCAGCTCTTCACTCCACCTCACACACCCCAAGACATCAAAGGCATCCTCCAGGGTGAGGAGAGGTGTGTTCAGGGTAACCCCTCCCTGCAGGAAGCTTCTCTGAAACCAAGGGATGTATTCCCTGAGGGGAAGTGAACAGGGAAGGTGTTGTCCTTTGGAATGAGGAGCTGTGAGCAGGGACTGGCAGCTACACCCCCAGCCCTGCCCCAACACACAGAATTTACTGTGGCCTTGTCTATATTCATGGGAAAGACCCAAAAGTGGGAAATTACACCACAAAACAGAGGGAGAGGTAGGAGTCTTTTTTTTCCCCTGGGTCCAGACTGTTGGGGCATTCACAGGGACTGGAATGTGGGAAAAGAAGGATCAGTAACGTGCAGTTAAGCACTGACAGACTTTAATTCTCATTTCTGCATCTGCCAAGAAAAGTTGGGCCCCAACACTGACATGAATTAAAAGCCTTTAAAAGGTTAGAATTAACTCTCCCCACACACACAAGAGCAGACCTGACCTCCACTGCCTTCCAAGGGGAACAGATCTCATTCCACTCCAATATTCAACACGGAGCTTTTCCTTTAAGATGCAATTTTCTGTGAACTCTCTTTTCCCTTTGCCCAAAATGCTGCCTCACTCTGCAGCCAGCAAAATATTTTTCTTGAGAGAAAAAAAAAAAAGGGTGGGAGGTGAGAAGGGAACACCTCCCACAGAGGAGTTTTGTTTCCAGCTGGGTTATCAAAATGGGAACACGCTGCATTTTCCACCAGTGAAGTGTAACACACAAAGTTCCAGGGCACCCAGTTATGGTAATGGCTTCAGGAATTTTGTGGATCAGGCAAGACAAACATTCCTGGTGGTGCTCACTCACCCTCATCACTTGAGGTCTCCTGTTTGACCACGGACAGCGGGGAGCGGGTCGGGGGTTTGCCCAGGGGGTGACGACGACTCTTTTTGATCTCCATCTTCATTTTGGAGAAGGCAGAAGCAGTCTGGAAGGAAGCAGAACAAGCTGGATGGGCATCCCAAAGGAGGGGATGGGACAAGAGAGGCAGAACTCTTGTCATAAAGGGTTCTGAAATTCACACAGCAAACTTTTCACTGCCTTTTGGCTGAAATGCTGCAGTTTTCTGAGCCAATTCCTGTAGCTGATAAAAGCCAACAGTAACTCTCCAGAAGTTGGGTAAACTACAGAGTTTTCTTTGAGTCAGAACAGGCTCAGAACATCTGCAAGCTGCCAATTCAATTTGCTTATGAAAAGTCTGGTCAATCACATACACAGCTGGGAACTCCGTGAAAATTATGGATCATCAAATCCCGGAATGGTTTGAGTTGGAAGGGACTTTAAAACACATCCAGTGCCACCCCCTGCCATGGGCAGGGACACCTTCCACCAGCCCAGGTTGCTCCAAGCCCTGTCCAACCTGGCCTTGGACACTTCCAGGGATGGGGCAGCCACAGCTTCTCTGGGCAACCTGTGCCAGGGCCTCCCCACCCTCACAGGGAAGAATTCCTTCCCAATATCCCATCTAACCCTGCCCTCTGGCAGTGGGAAACCTTCACCCTTTGTTCTATCACTACATACCCTTGTGGTGTGCCTGTACAGGGCACACAGGACCAGAAACATTTCCCAAGAACATTCCAGCATATTTACATTGTACTGGACCCACTGCCCCATTTAGCAGCCAACACCAAGTATAACATTCACCCTCCTCCCAGGAGCTCCCCATCCTGAACTGAATTATGGACTGAACAGTGAGAAAATATTCCCTCTCTCCCTGTAAAAGCCCTCTGTGGCTCTCCAGCATGGCACTATTCCACTGGAGGCTCAGAAACAATCATGGAATCAGAGAATGGCTTGGGTTGGGAAGGGCCTTGAAGGTCGTGGAGATCCTTCAGGAAGAGCAGAGACACCTTTCACCAGACCGGGGTGCCCCACCCAACCTGGCCTTGGACACTTCCAGGGATGGGACAACAACTGCGGACTCCCCTCATTACAACAAGTTACTGCTTCAAACCATCAAATCCTACAGTGCTTGCTCATGGAAAGCTGCCAATCACTGACCTCTGCAGTGACCTCTGTGGTTGCTGGCTCTGCATTCTCCTCCTCCTTCCCAGGGATGTCCAGGGGCACGGCCTGCTCCCTCCAGCCCAGGCTCTTCTGGGTGGCGAACTGCTCGAAGGCCTGCTGGCAGGACATGCGCTCCTTGTCGAACACCACCTTCTTGGTCCTGGGCACCACGTAGAGCATGGGGATGATGGGCCTGGGTTTGAAATCCTCCTCCTCCACCGGCGCCTCCGAGGGCTGGATGATGTTCAGGGGACC